AATTCCTAAATCTTACGAGGAATTATCCTTATACACCAACATGTGAACGGACCAAGGAAATTTAGAGAAGGAAACACGCCCTCATTACTAGACCTGGTTTTATCAAATGATGAGAACATAATTGAAAATCTCCTTTGTGTCCTGACTCAAGTGACCATATCTCTCTCTTTTAACTACGTTTGTTACAAAGAAATTACCAAAAGCAAAATCAGAGACGACACGTTTCAAGGGCAACTTAACGGTAATTCGAGATGAACTAAGCAGAACAGATTGAGATAGAAAGCTAAATCTGAACCTGCATTATTCACGGGATCTTCTTGTTATATTGGTGCCATAGAACCAGTTGATAAAGGTATTCACCGTCTGATGAATGACACCCTCCTCAAATATGTAGGACAGAGGAAATGAAGTCTGAACCCAAACTGTTCTGGATATACGTCAGAAGATAATAAAAAAAAAAACGGTGGAGAAGGTAACACTGTTAGAAATGGACAGTGGTCAACTCGCTTAGACAGGTGTAAAGAAGGCGGAAGCCCTAAACGAGCTGTTTGCAAGTGTCTTTATCAAGGTTTCAATGATGTACCAGATTCCAACAGTCATTGAGAATCCATATCGTTACAAAATGTAAACATCACAGATAAAGTGAGAGCAATGTGACAAAATAAGAGTAATATGGGGAAATTAATTATTTCTTGTTACACATATTCTGACACCTGTACTGAAAAAGTAGTTCACTAACTATAGATTTTTTTCTTTTAAAATCAAACCTTTCAAAAATTATTACCAGAAAAAAAGATAATTCTGGATTTTTTTTATATTTCTCAGAGAAGTATATCCTTCAGAAGTCGTTTGATAAAGTATCGCACAGAAGATTTATCCATAAAGTGGAAAACTATGGGGTAAAGGGTAATTCACCTGGTCGGATTCGAGAGTTTGTCTATAAACTAGAGCAAGGAGTAGAAATCCATGAAACATACCCCAGCACGAAAAAAAGTGGGACACCCTAAGGAGGTGTTCTAGAACCAATATTATTCTTACGTCAATGATATACCGGAACTTGTTGAAAACACATTCTAAATATTTGCTAGCGGCACCAAATTATATAAATCATCATTTCCATTTTAAAACCGGGCAACCTTTGCAAGGTGATCAAGACAGGAAGTGTTAATGGACAGAAACATGGCTTATGGAAGCAAATGCTGATGAATGTAAACATCTCAAAATTCACCAAGGGCTACAAAACATTATTCGAACTTCAAGATAACACAAAAATCTATATCTACTTACGTTGAAAAAGTTGACAAAGGAAGAGAACTAGGTATAATAGCAGACAAGACCTGAAATTTAATGACCATATTTAATGAGTTTTCACTAAAGCAAGACATGCATGTTGTTTTACCAGGGATACATAATACATCACAAAAGCATTATATATGTTTGTCCCTGGGCAATATTGATTTCTACTTCTATCTTTTTAAAATAAAAAATCAACTTAAGGGTCTAATGCTGCTGTGGATCAACGTCAACCCACGCATTAGCAAAACCAACAAGGAGATTGAAGAGTAGTATTTGTTTAAAACAAATATATAGCAATAAATCTGAATAAAACACAAGTGGTATGGATAGGTAGTAGGAAATACAGTAATGACATTTAATTGCCAGAAGTAAATCTTCAGTGGGGTGCAGAACAGTTTAAGCTCCTTGGAATAGAATTTCATGTTGATTTACACAGAATACTTAAACTTAACTTTGATAAAAAAAACTTGCTAAGCTGAAATCTATCATCAGTTCATGGAAAAGAAGATCTATTTCACCTATAGGTAAAATACATATCATAAAATCATTAATGGTATCCCAATTCAACCACTTGTTTATTTCATTAACTAATCCAAGTGAGAGTTTTATTCTTAAACTTAATGGTATCCTGTATGAATCATTACCAGCAATTTTGCCTGTTTAAGGGAGATAACTCATACTGCACCTTAAATCCCAATCGGGGTCAAGTCGGGATAATCATGTTACCTGTACATTCTATACATAGGACCAAAGTCAGACTGTGATAAACATACTTGACCTTTTATTTCCTTTACAGAATAACAACAATAAATTATTATCATTATTGTATATAGTTTTATTTTTATTTCTGTCATATCATTGATACAATGCTAACAATGAAGTTGACTGTAGAAATACATACATGAAAATAAATAGAGCTTTAAGAATACAATACAAAATGTACAAATAAATCAAAGTTTCAAATTTATGTCGGTGGCGATTAAAAAGTGTAATAAATATAACAATATCGATAGATGTCAAGGTCAAAATCTAATGATAATTTGTTAATTCGTGAACAGAGCCGTTGCTTAATTGCAATTTTAAAGGCGTTTGTAGCATGTCGTAGACGACTGTTGTCTATAGACGGATTGTTGAATGATTCAATCAGATGACATGGTAGGTGACTTTCGGGCTCCCAGGTTGCTTCCCATAGAGGATAGTTTAGCCATTTGACCAGGTACTGGGTATTCTGATAAAGATAAGGGTAAATATGTAAGCAACAACCACACGATGTGACTTATATCTCCAAAATAATGTTTCATATGTATACTCTAATCAAATTCCATTTGATATATACAGTGTTTCGTTAGCGAAATTAATGACTGGAGTCCTTTGGAATGGAAAGATAGATAAAATTAAGCGAGATGTTGTTGTTAAAAATTATAGAGAGGGAGGTCTTAATATGGTTCACTTATTGTCATTTATAGAATCTTTAAAATTAAGTTGGATAAGGAGGCTTCTTCAAAAACAAGGAAAATGGCAGGAAATATTAAAAACAAATTTCAATACTGACCTTCTTTTTAACTGTGGTAGTAAATATATATCTGTATGTCAAAATAGAAGTACAAACTTGTTTTGGAAAGATGTTTTTAAAGCGTGGAGTAAACTTTCCTATAAAGAAGATCTTTTAAAGGAAAAGGAACCATCATTTTTAAAACAGCCGCTATGGTATAATGAGAGGTTAACTATAAACCAGAAGTGTGTTTTTTATCCTTAATGGTATAGATGTGGAATTACTATTTTTAATGACGTGATAAAATATTTCAACACCAATAATACGTTCTATACACATGATGAATTTAATAACAAATACAATATAAATACGAATTTTGTGCAATATTATGGTATCTTATCAGCAATTAGAAGATATATAAATCAGAATAATATTGGGCATAATTTCAGAGTAGATTTAGAGTATCCAATTATGCCTCTTAATTTAGAAATCTTTTACAAAAACACTAAAGGAGCTAGGGACTTTTATGTAGTACTCTCTAAAATAAGGTTATTCCAACAGGTAGGAAGAAATGGGGGAAAACATTTGACATTAGCTACGAAAAATGGGAAAAAATATATAAAATTCCATTTCGAATAACTACAAATACAAAACTTCAATGGCTCCAAGTAAGAATTCTCCATCACATACTGACAACAAATGCATATCTATTCAAATCTGGCCTTTCAAATTACCCTTTATGTGTTTTTTGTAATCAAGATAGGGAAACAATAGTGCATACACTGTGGGACTGTTCGATAGTACAAAATTTCCTCTACAGCTTTGAAACATTATTGGATGCTTTAATTATCCATTTTTCTTTTAACAAGGAATCTTTCCTCTTTAGCATAGTATCACAGTCAGGAACAAGTAATAGACTAAATAATGAAATTTTAATTATGATCAAGCATTATATTTACAAGACCAGATGCCTTCAAAATACTCTATCAGTAAATGCCTTAATTAATACCATAAAAGATCATTATTATGTTCAAAAATATATAGCATGTTGCAAAGGGGATAATTTTGTTAAAAAACTAGAAAAAGAATGGAAAAAATGGAACACCCTCCTAGAATTATAGATTAAAAATTATTAAAAGTTATTTTAGTTTGATTTCTGGTAAACACAATACAACCCCTCTGTCAGTTTCTTGATTTTTATTTCAAATTACTATATATATTAATATTTGCAAATAGATGAGCTACAGCACAAAATCAGGATTTATTTATTAATATTTTTTTTTCATCCTTTCCTGTTTTTCTTTCTCTGCCAGTCTCCTCTGTTTTTCTTCTTTTCCTGTTTCTCTTAATAAGGTAATATATGTGTATTTTTTATCAATGCTGCAAGTTAGCGTACATGTGAGCTGTGTGATGTCTGAGTGAATATGATATGCTATGAATGTAATCAATACCATATATTGCAGAAAATTCTGAATAAAAAGAAAATTAAAAAAAAATAAAGATATAAATATATATACATACTAAGTAGGTAGAAAAGAAGAAAAAGAAAAGACGGGAACATCGTGAAATAGGGAACATATATATCGTTTGGTCTAACAGTTCAGGGACGTATAGTAGATCCGTGAAGCTCAACCGTTTTCTTTAATCATAGTTTTACAACAAAATTCTTCATTACCTAAAACACGGAGTTAGATTTACAGGGGATATTTAAACACGTCAGTTGCTCTGCAGTTCTGATTGGTCTGTGACTTGCAATAGAATTCCAATTAACATCGTATGTCCAGTTTGACCACATGATAGATATTTTGATGCTAAAAATGATTTTAAAAGTCATTAGAATGAGTTCTTCAAGGTACAGAATAGCTAGAAAATGTTCAACATGGGCTGAATATCCTGCAGTGTAGGGGAGATAATCCCAATAAAATGATACAATATTGAGTCGAAAATTATTATTTTTACATGAATATTGCATATACTGTATCTAAAACGAAACTGAAAGATATAATAAAACGAATTCATCAAACTCGGGAACTAAAGAGGAAGCTGTCATCAAATATGGTATCGTATGAAGGCTTGCATTTATCGGCATATGTATCATAAACCGGAAGTATACTGTTATGACGTCACATGATTTTCACCTGTCATGGCGAAATCTAATGAATTTTAGTTCATTAAGAGAGACAGGTGTGCCGTAAGCGTTATCCGACTAAAAATGGGCCGTTTGTCACTGATGTGTTTACTGATAAGTTGTTTTTTGACAGAAATAACATGTTCTAAAGTTCCGTCGTGCTCATGTACCGACAAAGATCTGTGTAAGGCACTGCCTAAAGCAAAGCCCAAGCAAAACATGGAGGTAAAGCGAAACGTGATGTATTTTGACGAAATAGTAACTTTATGATTTCTGATGCTGTGTCGTTTTACTGTGTCGTATCACTTATAATTGAACGAGCAGGATTTCGATACACAGGGTTAGATCTTGCAGATACGACAAGTTTAAGTAAAAACAACATGTTATGTCATAATATGTAGATGAGGTCACCATCCCTTGACTTCGCTTTAGGAGAACTATTTATTTTTTATCAGTAGGACGCTATGGTCGGTAGTTAATCCCTACAGGAAGCAGTTCCAGAGCTCTTTGTGCAAATCCACCAATACCTTTAAGTATTTGGTCTGTAGGTCTACCTCTTTTTGTTATTAGTATTTTCTTATGTTGATACAAGGTCAAAACACAATTTCTTGTTATCATTTTCAAAGTTGTATTCTGTAGAGATTACACCCGGCAGTGCTGCTTTGATTTTTGTTTTTTAAATTTTCAAGATTTATTTATTTGCTCAGACACACAAAGTGTGTAACAAGAGGCCAGTATATATGTCATGGACAATTTTGAGCCATGATAGATATTACTATGCTGTATCAGGGACGTAGATAACAATTATCAACATCCCTGGCTGTATATATTGTTACCTCATTATAACCTTTTACTACTTCATAGAAATTATTGTATACCATGTTATGTTTTAAAGTTAACTAAGAATAAGGTACTTCTACATCAGTTTTGTTACATAGTTATAATCTTGTATACACATGATAAAATTATGAAAAATAATGTATATATTAAATGTGTAATTGATCTAGTACATGCGTGCATCCACCAACCTATCATAACTGGGATAACATAACAAACTCTTTTTGTACAAACATGCTTATATTTACTAACAACTGTTTATTTTGTAAATAAAACATTCCTTTCATTTCACAGTACTTGGTGGATGGGATTTTTGCAAAAGTAGTATGGAATAATCTTACATCTTAAAAGTGCTACATTATTACTAGTTCAAATGAACAAATGATGAATTTGTCTCCTGTAAGTGCAGTAACACAGTGGACATACTCTCTATTTTGTTGTTGGATTCCTGTCCATCTTCCTGTTTCAACTGGAAGTTTTATATTGAAAGTTCTTGATTTACAAATTATCTTCTTGTTCTTTTCATTTAATCTTTTTAAATATCTTTTAAGCTAAATTGTCCTTCTTAACTTAATGTTAGTCATTGTAGGAAATTGTACTGTTTCCTTATATATCATGAAATTTTATGCGTTTTTGTTTTAACTAAGGATGTGTTTACATAATTGCAAATTGTCCCCAAATGACTTACATTATCATACCCCCATATTTTGGAGCAACTGATGAAACAGCTAATTTAAACTGTACATTAATTAGTAGTTTTTTTCTTAGATTTTGATACAAAGACTGCCTTTTTGGTTTGATTGCACATGTTTTTAAGCTAAGAAAAAATCTCCATTATAATTAAACAAGAGATATGAGAGTTAATCCTCAGTGTTCAACTATTGATTGTGTAGTAAGAAATGTTGTCTTATCATTGTCTTCTCCTTTTAGAAAAAAACAATAATCAAATTTCCATTTTTGACAATATTCTTTGAAATTATTCAATATTGTTTTGAATTCCTCTACTGTTTCCAACACCATTGCTGTATTGTCTTTGTATAAAATAACAAACACTTTTACTTACATATTAATATTGTCAGGACACAATACACCAATTTTAAGTAAACAATAAACATTTTTGTAAACGAAAAAGGTTTTGAGGTCATTAAGAAAGTTCCACCAATTACTTGTATCTGTTGTACAATGATTTATTTTGGATGTGTTTGTGTTTATTTTGCAGGCATACATTGTGACAGAAGGGAAGTCCTCACATACAGAATGGGCGTGGGAGCATATCACCATGGTTCTTAATGAAGGAGACGACAACCAGCAACTCATGTGTCATGCACATTCACTTGGTGTGGGATATGCAATCATGGGTATATATGCTTTGATCTGATTCAGATATAAATTAATAACCTGACATTCAAAAATCAGTAACAGTAATTCTTAGTAATGAAGAATGTCACACACAGTAGTCAGATATTTACATACATCAGTGGCAGTAATCTGCTGTAGCAATGTCACACACAGTAGTCAGATATTTACATACATTAGTGGCAGTAATCTGCTGTAGCAATGTCACACACAGGAGTCAGATATTTACATACATCAGTGGCAGTAATCTGCTGTAGCAATGTCACACACAGTAGTCAGATATTTACATACATTAGTGGCAGTAATCTGCCACACACTGTAGCAATGTCACACACAGTAGTCAGATATTTACATACATCAGTGGCAGTAATCTGCTGTAGCAACGTCACACACAGTAGTCAGATATTTACATACATTAGTGGCAGTAATCTGCTGTAGCAATGTCACACACAGGAGTCAGATATTTACATACATCAGTGGCAATAATCCTTAGTATTTAAGATATGTCACACACAGTAGTCAGATATTTACATACATTAGTGGCAGTAATCTGCTGTAGCAATGTCACACACAGGAGTCAGATATTTACATACATTAGTGGCAGTAATATGCTGTAGCAACGTCACACACAGTAGTCGGATATTTACATACATTAGTGGCAGTAATCTGCTGTAGCAATGCCACACACAGTAGTCAGATATTTACATACATCAGTCGCAATAATCCTTAGTAAAGCAATGTATTGTGTTATTACAGAGAAGATGTCAGTCTATTTTGTCACATCCTTGTATTGTGTTATTACAGAGAAGATGTCAGTCTATTTTGTCACATCCTTGTATTGTATTATTACAGAGAAGATGTCAGTCTATTTTGTCACATCCTTGTATTGTGTTATTACAGAGAAGATGTCAGTCTATTTTGTCACATCCTTGTATTGTGTTATTACAGAGAAGATGTCAGTCTATTTTGTCACATCCTTGTATTGTGTTATTACAGAGAAGATGTCAGTCTATTTTGTCACATCCTTGTATTGTGTTATTACAGAGAAGATGTCAGTCTATTTTGTCACATCCTTGTATTGTGTTATTACAGAGAAGATGTCAGTCTATTTTGTCACATCCTTGTATTGTGTTATTACAGAGAAGATGTCAGTCTATTTTGTCACATCCTTGTATTGTGTTATTACAGAGAAGATGTCAGTCTATTCTGTCACATCCTTGTATTGTGTTATTACAGAGAAGATGTCAGTCTATTTTGTCACATCCTTGTATTGTGTTATTACAGAGAAGATGTCAGTCTATTTTGTCACATCCTTGTATTGTGTTATTACAGAGAAGATATCAGTCTATTTTGTCACATCCTTGTATTGTGTTGTTTCAGAAAAGATACCTGTCTATGATAATTACACCGACAACAATGATTACTCTACTTGGGTAGAAAACATCGGAAACCATGCTAAGTTAATGTTTGCTGATGGTGTTGCACTCAACTTACTTAGCCTGTTGGGTCAGTGTGAAGCCGGTGCCCAGCATGTTGATATCGTCACCGATGCAGTAGCTCAGGTTTACCGTAAAATCAAGGCAGAAGGATGGCCAAAGGTTGGTACAGTGACAAATGTCTGAATATTATGTAGTTATAGGTATAGACTGGCTGTTCTGTATTGTATCACACTAAGACTGATAAGGAGTAGTGTAACAACTTTTTCTGTGTATATCTTGTTTTAGAAGTTAACCTTCTGATTGACATAGCATTAATGTTAACCTGATATCATACTTTAAATGATATTTTATGGTATACTTCACGTAATGGTTTAAAGTTTTGAGATTTTTTCAAAAATTTGAAATAAATTAAATGTTTTTTTCACAGAAATCTTGAAATGAGTTTGAGTTCCCTCTATCAGTTTTATTAGATAGAACGAATTGATGATCACATAAACAGCTTGAATTGCTGGGGATGCAAGGTTATAAAAATTATCCATATGAATGACTTTCAGAAACCAATATCCAGGATAATATCTTTTTCTGGATAATCTAAACATGTGACGGACATCTTTTGCTATCAATACTTGATAAACGCTTAACATTACAAGCTAGTTTGACATCTTTATATTTTAACTTTCTTTGCAGCTTTTCTGCATTGTTCCATGGATGCCACCCTGTTACCAAGGACATTGTCACCTGACAGCAGCACTTCATTCTTATTGTGACTACTTCATGACAAATCCTGATAGCTATGTTACCTCCTGTAATCTACAGTGTAGAGCACAAGCTACAATCCCAAAGGGGAGAATGGTGTTAGGTAGGTATTCAATTTTTGATGTTATACATCATTAATTCTTAGATAACTGACACAAAAACTCTGTAATAAATGACACAGTACGATTGTCATGTCATTAAACAAATTATTCTTCTGTGATATACAGAATTACATAATTCTGTTGTCATGTTATTATTTAAAATCATATGGTATAGGTGACGTGGTTTGTCATTTATTAAAAATAGGTCATTCTGTCCTGCATTTTGACCTTTGACTTACATCAAAGAAAAAGTTTGTCCAGACTCTATCTCCTACACTCAAACTTAATACTTTGGGTATGGGTTCACTTCGTGGTATATAATCGGTGGGGAACTGTAACTTGTCATGTTCTTCTGTAATATGCACTATAAAACAAATACATTATCATGTTATTCATCTGTTTGTTCTACTGTCTTGAATCAAAATTGGGTATACTGACACACTGATTAAAGAAGCAATTCTATTCATGTAGATGAAGTCACAGCAATATCACAGTACTTGTGAAAACAACATCAATGTTTTTATATTGTTTTCTGTGTATATATATTATGTTTTGACTATTTCTTGAGAAATACTGCATACTGTGTTGTAAATCTAGATCTAGTCTTTAATATCCGGTCAATGCCATTCAAAATCATGGTCGACAGGGTGTTTTAAAGGGTCATAGGTAAAAGGACTTTTTGAACCATTCTATTGTATAATTATCACATCTGTATGTATTTAGATGATATTGATACTGGAAATACTGAATATGTTTATGTTAATTAGAGTTTCAGAGGATTTTAACAATAATGTGATGATATTGTGATTTGAAGGTATTGATGAGTACCTGTCAGTTGGTGTCCCTAAAAACAAGTTGTTGATGGGTATACCTTGGCATGGGTATGACTACAAATGTGCAAAAAATGAAACCAATATCCAGGATAATATCTTTTTCTGGATAATCTAAACATGTGACGGACATCTTTTGCTATCAATACTTGATAAACGCTTAACATTACAAGCTAGTTTGACATCTTTATATTTTAACTTTCTTTGCAGCTTTTCTGCATTGTTCCATGGATGCCACCCTGTTACCAAGGACATTGTCACCTGACAGCAGCACTTCATTCTTACTGTGACTACTTCATGACAAATCCTGATAGCTATGTTACCTCCTGTAATCTACAGTGTAGAGGAGCTACAATCCCAAAAAATGGTGTTAGGGAGGTATTCAATTTTTGATGTTATACATCATTAATTCTTAGATAACTGACACAAAAACTCTGTAATAAATGACACAGTACGATTGTCATGTCATTAAACAAATTATTCTTCTGTGATATACAGAATTACATAATTCTGTTGTCATGTTATTATTTAAAATCATATGGTATAGGTGACGTGGTTTGTCATTTATTAAAAATAGGTCATTCTGTATGCATTTTGACCTTTGACTTACATCAAAGAAAAAGTTTGTCCAGACTCTATCTCCTACACTCAAACTTAATACTTTGGGTACAGGTTCGTACTTGTGGTATATAATCGGGGGGCTGTAACTTGTTGTTCTTCTGTAATATGCACTATAAAACAAATACATTATCATGTTATTCATCTGTTTGTTCTACTTTTGATTAAAATTGGGTTTACTGACACAGTGATTAAAGAAGCAATTCTTTAATGTAGATGAAGTCACAGCAATATCACAGTACTGTGAAAACAACATCAATGTTTTTATATTGTTTTCTGTGTATATATATTATGTTTTGACTATGGTGTGTGAGAAATACTGCGCCTGTGTTGTAAATCTAGTTACTGTATAGTTATCTTTAATATCACACGCTGTCAATGCCATTCAAAATCATGGTCGACAGGGTGTTTATAAAGGGTCATAGGTAACCCTTATCAAAACACCAATTTTGAGGACTTGTCTATTAAGCTTACTGTAATTATGGAGAATCTGTTGTAAACAATTAATGATTATTGATACTGGAAATACTGAATATGTTTATGTTAAAATAGAGTTTCAGAGGATTTTAACAATAATGTGATGATATTGTGATTTGTGGTATTGATGAGTACCTGTCAGTTGGTGTCCCTAAAAACAAGTTGTTGATGGGTATACCTTGGCATGGGTATGACTACAAATGTGCAAAAAATGAGGTAAGTACTCTAGAAAAGTAACTTTATTGGGAGGTAAGTCCTCCAGAAAACTACTTTTATTGGGAGGTAAATACTCCAGAAAACTACCTTTATTGGGAGGTAAGTCCTCTAGAAAAATACCTTTATTGGGAGGTAAGTACTCCAGAGAACTACCTTTATTGGGAGGTAAATACTCCAGAGAACTACCTTTATTGGGAGGTAAATACTCCAGAAAAATATCTTTATTGGGAGGTAAGTCCTCCAGAAAAATACCTTTATTGGGAGGTAAGTCCTCCAGAAAACTACTTTTATTGGGAGGTAAATACTCCAGAAAAATACCTTTATTGGGAGGTAAGTCCTCAAGAAAAATACCTTTATTGGGAGGTAAGTCCTCCAGAAAAATACCTTTATTGGGAGGTAAGTCCTCCAGAAAAATACCTTTATTGGGAGGTAAGTACTCCAGAGAACTACCTTTATTGGGAGGTAAGTACTCCAGCAAACTACCTTTATTGGGAGGTAAGTACTCCAGAGAACTACCTTTATTGGGAAGTAAGTCCTCCAGAAAAATACCTTTATTGGGAGGTAAGTACTCCAGAAAAATACCTTTATTGGGAGGTAAGTACTCCAGAAAACTGCCTTTATTGGGAAAGGATAAAGTTTCTTTCATTGGAAAGTCATGTAATTTTGTCTGCATTGTTGCAGATTTTCCCAGCATCATGAAGTTTAAATGCATTGTTAACTTTCAAGATATTTCCCAGGTTTCAAGATATTTACCAAGTCAAGTTAACTTATCAATAAGTCTGTCTATCTCTATGCCTTTCTAGTTGTCAGGTCTGAAATTTAAATTGTCAGATCTGTCTGTCTGTAATGTTTTGCTAGTCTAGATAAATTATGTCTTTCTGTCCATATGTCTTTCTAGTTGTAAGGTCTGAAATCTAAATTACCATGTGCGTATGTGTTTCTTTCATGATTCTACCTCGAGCTGACAGGCCTGTATTTTTCCCATGCTTTATTTATTCTGTTGTATTTTCCATTTGGCAGTTTGTAAACTGTCACTCCCCTGGTTCATTATATTATCTTTGATTCAATACATTGCATGCGATACCAAAGTAAACACATAGAGTAACGATGTGGACACTTTTACACAGACAGCTTCACTTGATTTATACCATAATACATATCAAATGTTATCATCTATTTATACATACACAGATACTACTATTTATATACAGGTACATACACACAGATACCACCATATATATACAGGTATATACACACACACATACCACCATATATATACAGGTATATACACACACACAGATACCACCATATATATACAGGTACCTACACACAGATACCACCATATATATACAAATACATACACACAGATTTCACCATATCTATACAGGTACATACATATACCGCCATATATATATACAAGTACATACACACAGATATACCACCATATATGTACAGGTACATACACACACATATACCACCATATATATACAGGTACATACACACATAACACCATATATATACAGGTACATACACAGATACCACCATATATATACAAATACATACACACAGATTTCACCATATATATACAGGTACATACACACACATATACCACCATATATATACAGGTACATACACACAGATACCACCATATATATATACAGGTACATACACACATAACACCATACATATACAGGTACATACACACAGATACCACCATATATATACAGGTATGTACACACACACATACCACCATATATATATACAGGTATATATACACACACATACCACCATATTTATACAGGTACATACACACAGATACCACCATATATATACAAGTACATACACACAGATTTACCACCATATATATACAGGTACATACACACAGATATCACCATATATATACAAGTGCATTCACACACACTTACCACTTTTTATACACAGGTACATACACATGATTTATGGTTTAGATTTTGACTAATATAAATGTTAGATTGGTGGGTATCAGTTGATTAAATATCAAACCAGAATAAAGATGAATTCTGATTATTGTTTTAGATAACAAAAGATCACAACAGAATATGTGTGCTATCTAAGAAGAACGGCAGCAACGAGTGTGACTTTATCGGGTCTCGTACTCGAACGTCACTTGGTGATATCATGGCCAATTATCCAAAACAATTCTCCAAACACAACTGGGATGGTCTGCAAGCAGCACCCTATTTCACGACAAATTTCCAGGTAAGTTGGTGAGATAGGGGGATCAAAACCCTTGGGGAAAGATGATTGTGTTTAGATCCTTTAATATCACCTCCAAGGAGGGGAGATTTTCTTTTATAAAATCTTCAAATTGGTATCTAGCATTCGTAATCAAAACTGCAATGTTATCAAACTGTTGTAATAAAAATTTTATCATATTCAATAATGACATCCAAAAATCTAAGATTGACAGAATCTCTTTCACTTATAATATGCTGAGATTTAGGAATCACATTTAAAGCTCCATTGGCATTACCATCTGAAAAGTGAAATTTTGAATTGTTTTTTCAGAACCAGACTGTGAATGAGACACATTCCTTGTGGTTTGAGGCTATGGATAGTTTGTTGGACAAGTATCACTTTGTCAAGGAAGTTGGGTTGGAAGGTAAGGCCACATTAGATATTGAATACCTTATTTACTGCAACGTATTTCAATCTTTAGCTCACCTGGTTCTTTGTTTGTTGTTTAAATATTGCTTTAGCTACTGAACAACTGAAGAGATTTTGAACAAATTTGGTCAGAAGCATCCTTTAAGGAAGTGGAAAACTTCTGTAATGTTGATGGGTTTCTGGCCCCCTGGGCTGGGAGGTGTGGGACCCAATAGTTGAAACCAAGCAAATTATTTAAAATCTTAGTCCACCTGTAGAAGGAATCTTTGGATTTTGCTCATATGTGGTATGAAACTTTCTCAGATTGACAGAAATGAATTTGATATAAACAATGGGTCTTTGCCAGCTTTGGAAGGAAGGGCAGGGCCCCAAAAGAGGAATTAGAGAAATGTTTTTGAAATCCTAGCCCTACTATAAGAATGCTTGCACTTTGCCAAACTTTTGGTCTGAAACATTCTTGGGTAAATGGGGAATCAAGTGTGTATAAACCAAGGGTTTCAGCCCCCTAGATCCGGAGGGGTGGGGTGCAAAACAGGAAATATAGCAAATTCTTTAAAATCCTACTCCACAACAAAAAGGACCAACATCAAAAGTCAAGGGCTATAGCAATTCTATAAGATCTATCATTTCACTGCCACTAAACAGCTAAAGATATGAGTGGGCTTGTTACAAGGCATGGACTCGTTGCAAGTAAATACCAAAAATTCTTTTTTTTCATAAATTGCACTGCTGATGTATGGATTGTACTGTTGTTACAGGTGTGGTGGTTTGGTCAGGTGATGATCTATCTGGCAAAATTACAGATGCCAAGAACATAATGGTGTGGAACTGGATGATTCACACCCTTTTCCTGACTGGTACCACAGTGAATACCAAACAGATGGATATGGCAGGTAAATGGGCATCACAGTGTATCCGAGGTAGTGATTCTCACCAGTTTGTCAGAGTAGCATTAAATAGTGGTCAGTATATTCTCTCTAGTTTGTCATAGTGGCATTAAATAGTGGTCAATATATTCTCACTAGTTTGTCATAGTGGCATTAAATAGTGGTCAATATATTCTCACCAGTTTGTCAGAGTGGCATTAAATAGTGGTTAGATATTCTCACTAGTTTGTCAGAGTGGCATTAAATAGTGGTCAATATATTCTCGCTAGTTTGTCAGGGTGGCATTAAATAGTGGTCAATATATTCTCACAAGTTTGTCAGAGTGGCATTAAATAGTGGTCAATATATTATCACTAGTTTGTCATAGTGGCATTAAATAGTGGCCAATATATTCTCATTAGTTTGTCATAGTGGCATTAAATAGTGGTCAATGTATTCTCACTAGTTTGTCAGAGTGGCATTAAATAGTGGTCAATATATTCTCACTAGTTTGTCATAGTGGCATTAAATAGTGGTCAATATATTCTCAACAGTTTGTCAGAGGGGCATTAAATAGTGGTCAATATATTCTCACTAGTTTGTCATAGTGGCATTAAATAGTGGTCAATATATTATCACTAGTTTGTCAGAGTGGCATTAAATAGTGGTCAATATATTCTCATTAGTTTGTCATAGTGGCATTAAATAGTGGTCAATATATTCTCACTAGTTTGTCAGAGTGGCATTAAATAGTGGTCAATATATTCTCACTAGTTTGTCAGAGTGGCATTAAATAGTGGTCAATATATTCTCAACAGTTTGTCATAGTGGCATTAAATAGTGGTCAATATATTATCACTAGTTTGTCAGAGTGGCATTAAATAGTGGTTAAATATTCTCACTAGTTTGTCAGAGTGGCATTAAATAGTGGTTAAATACCATTGCTAGTTTTTAGTTTGGTCAAATTATCACTACTAGCCTCTCAGTGGAGTTAGATAGTGATACAAATATCACAACTGGTTTATCACAAAAATATTTCTGAATTCGCCAAACAATTTTCAAAATATTTGTTATTTTAAAATATTAATTACAATTTTAAGAAAAGACATAATAGAGAAACAATTAGAGTGATTTGTGATATGAAATAACACTTTACTTACAGGTAAAGCTGCTGGTATTGGAGTGGGCTGTTTCCTTGGAGGATGTCTGTTCGGTTTCCTCATCACATTTATTGCCCACCAAAAACGAATGAAGAAAATGAGAATGAGGAGACCATTTGAAAAAGACAACTTTTCAGATGACGACTACCATGATGATGATAATGCTTTGTGAAAACTATTGTTTTGTAAAAGCGAGAATTTCTATGAATATGGTAACAAAAATTTGACCAGGACTGTTTTATTCAAAATAGGTAATGCCTTAAAGGAAGCAATATCACCAATATAGAATTTAGAGGAAATTATTTGTTTATATCAGATACTTTTTTTTGTTCAGCAAGTGATTTGATGAGAATGAAGGTTTACTTTAGGACAATTGAATGTCTAAGCTTACTGGTAACTTATTAAGTATTAGCTACCACTCTTTTTTCATAGTTCTCTGTTCTTCAGGAATTATAGGATCCTTATTACTGCAAATCACTTAGATTTTGCGAATACTTTATTTTGCGGACTCACCTCTTTAGATGTATGTCTGAATACATTATTTCACGAATGCTGATCTATAAATGACTTTAAATTCACGAATGATGAGCTATTAGAGACATGAATTCTGCTAGACTCCAATAACTGAATCAAAATGAATGCCATCCAGAGTTATTTTGGTATGAATAATTGTGATGGATTTGAATTCGCGATTGACTCTCTTCATGTATTAACGCAAAAAAAAAAAAAAATAAATCCCATGCAAAATTCAAGAGATTTACGGTATCATGTCACATCTATTGTAAGGTTGTAATGTTGAACTTGAAGTCTGCTGCTGTAAGAGAGATATGATAATGGTGAACACCATATTATCCCTATACTGAGGACGTACATGGATATGTATTGTTATTGGTTCTCTTTTGATATTTACATTTTTGATTGTCAAGAACAACATGTATTAACAATTTTTGTAATGATACAATATCATTGATCCGTAAGTTTGTAAGTACAGCTATACTTTTGATAGGTGTGTGAAGGTACCTATGTACATCAGATTGGCCTTAGATGTGTCCAGTTGTTTGCTGGTAATTGCGTCCAGTTTTATTGCGCAGGTGTGCATGGATACTTTAAAAGACGTTTAGATGGCTGGTAAGTGTCAGAGTGCATGTGTCACTAGTGAGTACGGATCTTTAATGTAGCTGATAGGTGTGTAGGTGTACCAAGGTGTGTGCTAGTGTATCAAGGACTTGAAGGTATGGTGTGGTAAGGTGTATTTGATAGGTGGAGTATTTCCCTGCCTCCTGAACCTTTTAAGCGAGCTTACGGTGAAAGTAGACACAGAGAGTAGTTAGAGTTAGAAGTTGACAGACAAATTTAGTTGTATTTTTGAGAAGTTGAAAGTAAGCTACAGAAAGATGGCCATCAAACCGTTACGAATGCTTGACTAGAAATTCACTATGAATGTGTTGTTGAAGGTACAGGAAGTTGACAGTAAAAGTATAATTACAGGAAGTTGTAATTATTCATGAAGGTTATTGTGTTATGCATTTGATGTCACAGCTGTTTGATGTGTATTTTTTATCATATGTGACCTAATTTTGTACGTCACATACTGTTTTGTATGAAAGGAAATTTTATTGTACTTAAACCCAAACAATTTGTTTTTCAAATACTTGAAATTTTATCATATTTATAATCACAAGTCTTCATTTATGAATAGATTGGACAATACTATATAAAACCTTTCTTTTTCATAGTTTTCCTTGGAACTACATTTTTTCCTGAGGAATACATATAACTTAAGTATTAATTAGCTCCAAACATTTCATAATGCTTTATTTCACATATTGTGAGTTTGTAAGGTTGAGCATGTTGCTTAGCAACACAAGAAAACAAGAAACTAATCATTTTGCAAGACAAATTGGTTAAGATACAATTTTTATACATGTACTGTTAAGTTGATTTTAAGTACTTAATTGTTTGCATAGTATTTCGAAGATTCAGTTTTATCAAAATATGAGTAATTTTCTAATTTGATAACTACATTTCCATATATCATTTTACACAATGTAACTGATTGTGAATGTTTTACTCACAAACCTTACATGCTTTATCAGTTGAAGTGTCATTCCAGGTCAAATTGTTAGATGTCCGTGCTGTGTTGATTTTCATTCAGGTAATCAATTTCAATCATCATATGGAATTCTTTTCCTTTATTGAATGTTCCATGAGTAACTTATGCATTGAATGACTATTTTCATCAGTTTGTGTGTAATTTATGATATTCTTTTGGTATTTGTCAGAGGTTTATGTGTGTCACAATTTTTCCTTAATATTTTGTGGTAAAAGTCTTTGTAGAGCGACAGTAGAGTTAAAAGAAACTGAATGTTTCAAAACATGTTACCTTTACAGAAAATGTATATAGATGTCTCACATGTGCCTTGGACTTTAAAGGATAAATGTTTTTAAATTTTTACAACTAAAAAATTTAAAAAATATTACTTAATGGTAACTTTTTGAATTAAATAAATAAAAATTTTGTAATTATCAAAATTTCAGGCAATTCAACAATTTCATTGTTGTAAGAGTTATTTTTAGACTCTTAGCATGTTTTTCATTTGAGTGGTAGTAAAAGTTGTAACCAGGAGTGGCTCAGATACATGATAGCTATGATTTAATCCAATGAAATTGAAGCACTATGCAGTATGCTCGGTGATGCTATTTAATTCTCAGTTTTATATTGTATAGTGTATTTATATGCTGTGTTTGTATTCCCATCATAAATATCTTACAACTGAGATAATTTTGAAGTGACCATTTGAATTCAGTACCATCCTGGAAACTGAAATTGATTGTACTTTGATTGTGATTGATAATGTCTGTTGGTATAGATGAATGACTTGTTTCCTTACATAGGAATGAATGATGATTGGGTTAACACAAGATTTCTAGAATTTTCTATTTATCACACATTATCTTGCCTTTGAAATACATTTCCTCGATTTGTTAATCATGTTTCACAGTGTCTTTCAGTTTGTTAGTCCACTACTTGGATCAGTCTATTTATCAACTACATTGTTTGTAAATGTGAAATTTAGAATCGACATTACAATGTTTCTTTTTTTTATTGACATTTTGATGCTGTGCCTTACTTGTTGAATTTCTGGGTTTAGTTGGATTTGTAATTTTTGTTAAGTATCACAAAATTGTGTTTGTACAAAGAAATTGAGTAAAAAAAGAGTTCAGAATTACTGGTGGGTGAACAACAGCCTTAAGTCCCAACACAAATGTTCAATAGGCCTAAATTATAAGACAGGCAGGTGATAAAGATAAGTAAGCATTGTCGGTAACAAAACTTTCATTATTATCAAAAGCTGTTTGTATAAGGTAGTTTTTTTCAATTTCTGCCTCCTTGTTTAAAAATGTGAGGTGAACATTCAGGTATAAATTGTAAAATGTTGTATTATCAGCAATAAAGCTGCTTGTTCTAAATAAAACTGCAGATGAAGTAATCAAACATTAAAATTAAGTGTTAGTATGGTATATAGATTAGCTGTATCTTTCAATAACTACAAAATTGATAACATGGTAAGTAAATCTTACCAGGCCAAAGTAGAAGGAAAAAAAGTGTGATTTAGTAGCTCATAGAAATGGTACACATCCTTGTCAAATAAAACACCAATGTTAGAATCATGCAATTATTTTAATTTTTTTACACTTTTCTCGCCTTTCTGTTTTGTAATTATCATAAATAGAAAATTTTATTTTTTTCTCTGTTAATTATTATCTATCTGCTGGTATAACTTATTTTTACACTAAACTTTTCAGAAACATTTCAGTGTATGCATTAACAAGTTTTGATATTACTTTGTCTGTGGTAAATATGATACTGATATTGTGCCTGAGCCCTACACACCAATGAATCTTTAGTCTTACTTTAGCAAGGAGAGTTTACATAATAACCAACTTATATAGAGATTTGTATATAATTTTATATTCCAGATAAATTACGCGTGTTGTATGACGTTTTGCTTCAGATGTTATATTTGATGCATATAATGTTTTTTATACCAATCATTTGTCCCCGCCGACGTTTTATATCTGTTCGTGTCACTGTCGTATGAAATGTGATCTGCCTTAATGTGATGTGTCCAGTGACTGTTTTTATCCCATGATTCCATGTTATTGTATAAATACACGCATATTTTTGTATATAAGTTGATGTAATATGACCTATTTTGACATTAGGTGATATCAAAATTCATGTCACACTTTATAGATTATAGAATGACACCACTTTGTTTGATTTAGTTTGTTGTTGTTTATTTTGTAGTAACAGCCACGGTCGCCATGTAGACCTTACATAACAAGACGATTTAAAGATTAATGTGGTAAAGCGTGTTTTCTTCAACATTTGTGAAAAAAAATAGAATCAAATGATGAAAAAGATCTTAACTATGTTTGCATTTCATTAACATTGATTTATAAATCTGATTTGAAAATGAAAAGGAATGCAAGATTCTCATCATAAATACATACATTAAAGGAGTATTTTCTCTGGAAAAGATCAAATCTACTGCGCAATGGTGATATTTTCATTCCATGCCTCTTGTAGTGTCACAATGCATTTGAAACCACAAAGATGTGACATTACAATTGAAACATTGGGTATCTTTAACTACAGTCAATAAATCTGATAACAGTGTGGTGATGTAATAAATCATTATCGGTATACATGTTTTATTATTATGCGTTTTTGTCTATCTTTTTTTTTTTTCACAAGAGGTTGTTTTTAATGTTGTTAAATAATATTTCTCAATATTTTTTACCTGTAAATATGATGTTGTTACCAATCTTTTTTCTTTTTTTTTTTTTTTTTAAAGTTTTTCAATATGTTATAAATTTCTTACAGTTACACTATATCTACAAATGTTCATAATACAAAGATAAGAGATTATCTCCTTGTCATGATGGACAGTCCAAAACTCTGGATCCCACATACTGACTATAAGGAATCTGGTGGCTGTACATGTAACAGGAATTAATTTGTTAAACCAAATGTGCAAACCAGCAAGGTTTAAATGTAAACAGTAAAGGTTTGGTGACAACAACAACACTTTGTGTGTCTTTATTCTGATTCCTCTTTATAAACAAAATATCTTGTCGTATCTTGTACCCAAAGAGATTATTGGGATTTCTGGTCTCATCATTTAAACACAATCTTTCCATAAAATGTCAGATATTTTGTAATATATAGTGGTTGACTACATAACACCTGTGTGATTTATGATGTTGAATTGAGTACATCACATGTAATTCTAGAGCATGTAAATTATATACATGTACCTACTTTATGTATGTGATATACGTGATAAGGAGTTCAAAGGTTATAAAATGTGAATTTATATGTATTTCCACATTATGTATGTTATACATATACTTTTACATATTATATATAACATGTATGTAATGTTACATCATCTATATATTATAACACTTGAATATGTTACAGTGTCTACACTATGTTACATTGTATGTAATGTTGTATTATCTACATTGTATAATGCTGTAGGTAAAGTTACATAACTTATACTGTAGTACATTTATTCATTATGTATATTGTATGTACTGTTACATTGTTTACATCATATAACATTGTACATAATGTAATGTGTTACATTATCTACATTGTATAAGATTGTATGTGATGTTACATTATCTACATTGTATAAGATTATATGTGATGTTACATTATCTACATTGTATATGTTATGTGTGTAGAATATAATGCTGTATTATAAGTGATTTGTAGAGGGTTTTAAATCATAAAACTCAAGCAAACATCACAGAAAAAATCTGTACAAATTCTTCACACTATTAACTAAACTTATGGACTTGACATCAGTTTTAAGTCACCAGAAACATCACATTTGTCATCACTAAAGCCTGAATATGTCTTTGTGTGTGAATAATTTGTAATTAGATATAGATCTTGACTTAAAACAAGACAAACAATTTAAAACAATTGTACTAAAGACTTTATAAAAAACAAGCACTAAAACATTTCTATTAATTCTACATCCACAAATTCCCCACCAAGTTGTGACCAATGTAAAGGTTAATTCTTGTCCCCCTGCTGATTGGGGGCCATGATAGCTCTGTTCAGTAGGGAGCTGAGAAATGAGCCAGTCAGTACTATCCTGTTTATGTTGTTGGGTAATACATTTTATGCCAAGTACTCTGGATTGGATTGAGTATGAAGTTTAGTGAAGTATCTACCAGTTAGTACAAAGACACTTCACCTAAAAATATCCCTGGCAGTTCATTGGATGATAAACCCAGCAAACAAGTCTCCCCCATTTAATTTCTTCATTAATTAAAGTGACGGCTGGCTGGTTCTTTCTTAGGATGGAGGGATTACCTATATTTTCAAAGGGGGAAAGACTGCCTCAATTTAACCTGACATAAGTTGTCTCTTATCAAGTGTTAGTCAGCTGTCTGAATACAGGTACAGATCCCAAAGTAATGGTTACTTATCAGTCAAGTATATACACCCATAGAGACTAATTCTTGATCTACGACACGTCCAAATCTTTTTACAATTAAACAACTATTGGTAACTTGAGACATTTTTACGAACACATTTATGTTTAAGGACCAATAACATCAACAAAACAGAAAGTGAATCTTTATATTTATAATTCTGTTGAGGTTTTGTGAAAGAAAGCCTCAAAAGTTTGACAGAGATTGGCATAAGGACCATATTTCTGAAAGATGGTATTTCACTTGGGCATTTTGATATGTAAGAAACTCATGAAGCCCAGCTGATGTTTTTAACCTGAAATATTCTGTCATGATATCTCTCAGAGAACGAGAGTCCTTCTTTATTAGAAACAAATAATTAAGGTCACTCTTTATTAAAACAAACCCTACATTCTTATAGATTTTAATATACTAATATGAAATCCTGTATTCGGACCTGTTTGTGACAAGTATGGAATTCAGATTCTATGGTTATAGGCTACACATATTTAGATATAAGTAAATATTTACAGTTATTGAATGTACTTTAAAATGTGATTCTCCCTTATATCAACTCTTTTGTCACAAATGAAGACTTCTATAAAGTCATGTGGGAAATTGTCTTGGATATTTTAGTCTTAAAACAATAGAAGTTTATAACTTTCAAAAGGTTTAATGCTGAAATATATTGAAGATAAAAAGATTTTATGTAATAAAAAGCTGAAATGATCCACTGGTAATTTTTGTTTTAAACAAACAAAAACCATTGGGATCAGTGTGTTAGTGGTATATGTTATTTGGAACTATTTTATTTCTCATACATTGTGATATATGTGATATGTGTATATGTGTTTTGCTCTGTGCAAATAAAACATTTTGTGAGGAATGGTTACTTTAGTTATTTTTTTTGTTTCCAGTAATACCCATGTAGATGAAATATTTCAGATGTTTTTGTTTCCAATCTGGTTTCAGTCTTGACATTGGCATTCCAAACTTTACTAATGTTTTATGTTTTAATTCAGAAGATAAAGAAAGAGAAAAAGAAGGGAAAAAAATCATTTCAGACTGTTTGTTACATACAAGAAATTTGTCACTGTGACCTGTGTATTGTATCTTCTCAATGCAAAATTATCTAGTGTATATTTGCTTATATTTCATGAATTATCTTGTAGACTGAATTGCTTGTTGATTTTAGTAAGACTGTTGCATTAGAAGAAAATTAGCTCCGCTGTGCTGTGACTAACATTCTGATCTCCTAAAAGAAGAAATCTTTTCCTGAAACTATCTCCCTCAGTGTACATTCTTCACACAGGAAATTAACTGTTTCTTTGAAGGCACAGCCATTCATACTGCAGACAAGCACAACCACAGAATTTTAGATATACAACAAATGTGTTGTCTGTTTAGTGCTTCCTATAAAAGGGCTACTTTATATAAGGAGTGTACATGCTGATGTCAGTGAAATCACTCCTGTTCACTTTACTTCTGTATTTGATTATAAACAAGACATATAGGAAAACTTTTGTTTTGTGTTAACACAATTGACTGTCTACAGTTGAATTTTGAGATGACATTAACTAAAAACAAGTACAAGAAGAAAAAAAATAACAAAAACTGTCTCTGCTGAGTTTCGAACCAATCAGTTTTACTCAGAATGAAGGGACATCACTCTAATCGAGAGCGGTATCCGTAAAGGGACATCACTCTAAAAAGTTTGTGAACATGCGAAAATGTGATGAAAGTGACTTAATCGTGTTTTGAAAAAAAAAACTAGACAAATCATTCTATTATCATGAATGCCTAGACTACTAGCCGTGCGAATAGATTAACCTATCTTTATTTAGCGAAGTCTTTCATCACTGATAATGGATTATTTACTGGAAAAGTTCTGAGATTCGAATACAACGAGGTCGCATCAAAGCCAGATACACAGTTTGACCCTGTTGACAAGTTTGACATGTACATCTGGTGAAAGCCTATGTAAAGGACAGAAGAAATTATTCTAGGTATGTTACAACTCGATAATTTACTATATTATGTCAATTTTCCCTTCATGTTGACCACGAAGTGATTTACCGTAACATTTTTTTGAAATTTACAGTAGATATTATTTGGTATAACGTAATCAGGTGATGTCCTGTAGATAGGTAACCATTAACTAACGCTGAGTAACGATAAACCTGTGTACCGTGCATAGAAATGGAAAACAATGGCCCAGCAACGGCACATTTCTATTTCATAATGTCATAGATATTTACATAAACTGATAAAGCAGTGCCTTTATACAAAAACTTACTGACAGAAAAGATTAAAGGAATCTGGGATAATAATTCAGCAAATCAAACATTTTTGTTTTGTATTGTAGATCTGAAAAAATCTGTTGATGATCAGGGACCTAGAAGCTCACCATGATCTTATCTCGGAACAGCGCATTGATGATTCTCCAGAAAATCAAAGAGACACATTCAATTTCACACAAACATTTAAGGAAAAGTTGGAATATACCATACAGAGTCGTAAACAGAAATTTCTGTTGTCTTCAGCAATGGAGATGTGATGAAAATCGAAAACAATTTTTATGTATCAGTCAGACTCTGGGTACAAATTTACATTTATTTGGCAATAACAAATTACCTTTGTGTCACTTAGATAGATGCTATACAATCTGTCATCAACATAGTAAGAAAGTTTGTAAACAAGGTCAGTTTGTAACAATATTAGGATGTGGATATTTAAGAAATAATTTAACATTTTCTGGAACCAGAAAAATTCATGGCAGTTTTCATCATCTGAAAAACATTCATCCGATATACAAAGAAGGAGGTGGTGATATGGAGGATGAACTTGATTACTTAAAGGACAGTGCAGGTAATTGTTTGTTAATTCTCTTTGTTCTTAAAATTATCCTTAAATACCAAATGAAATTATTTCTATAATGTAAACAACCTAACATAATCCAGTTTACATCATATGTACATGTGTACAAATAATCAATACCGGGTATATTGTCAGTTGTTTTTATTGTCAGATGAGATGGAAGTATTTGAGAAGGACGAAGATTACCAGCGACTGGTACAGGAGTACTACAACATTCCTGGTATGGGACAAAGGGTCCTAGTTTTACAACCAGGTATGTAGGGATTGTTGTTATGATATTTCAAAAGTGTTCCTAGTGTTAGACACAGGGACTTGGTAATACACTCAGGTAAGGAGTTCTGGTGTTGCTAATGTTAGACACAGGACCTTTGAAATACTCTCAAGTACATGGTTCTAATTTTTTTAGTGTTAAACAAAGGGCCTTGCTGATACACAAGGTTAGACACTGGGTTTGGTAATACACCAAGATAAAGAGTTCTAGTGTTGCTAATATTAGACACAGGGCCTTGGTAATACACCGATATATATATGAACATACCATAGAAGTTCTTTAGTGGTCGTAGCGTTCAAAGACACAGGACCATTTAGGAACTGACTAGTACTAATGGTAGTTCTGCAGCTTTCATAAATCCAAGCATAGGATGTTAGGAGTACAATGCATTTATACTGGATAAGGACAATATATATTTCTACATTAAATGAGATTATTTGACAATCAAAGATTGTCTCTACTTCAACTACGCAAATAAATAACTAAAGATTATAACTGGTAACGTTTTCCATCACACGTTTCAGATATTAAAGGCAAAGGTCAGTCTTCCCTAACCACCCCAGACCTCCAGCTAGCTGAAGCATGTGCCTTAGTGGAAACACTGCCAAAGTGGACTGTGGTGAAGAAAGTAAGATTGTGCTTTATATGTATATGTCTATGTATTGATTAACTATGATATGATTAGAATAATCATTTAAATTGTAATTAATTTAAATGTACGTGTACATTTTAATCCTAAATATCCCATACCCCTTGTATATAAATTTGTTAAATTCAGTTGGAGTGCATAGAATAGTTTTGAGATTAAATGTATTTTTTGAGGTATTTTGATTTTTTTTGTGATGATTGCATGGCTCCATATGAGGAAACCCAGTTTTTATGGTCCGTACCTGTAGATCTGTAAAGTCCAGTTTATTGGGAAGTATGTTCTTAGTCAAGCTATCCTTATCTGATATATCATCTCTCTGTACTAAGTCAGTCATAATAACTAGGTACCTGTGATTTTCAGATATGAAAAGTTCATTTTCAGTTTGTTTTGGCTAAGTTGAACATTACTTGCTTGAAGTGTGTATATCTGACTTGTGCTGATATCAACAGCTGGTGTTCTGCTCTACATTGTAACACTAAAACAAGAACACTATATAAATGTTAAAATAGTTTAATGATTGTATTGCTGTCAACCTTTGCTTACATAGGTATTCTTAATTTTTTTTTCATTTAGATGGTGGTCCCTGTACATAACCGACATCTTCCTCATGTGTTCAATTCAGGACGCCTGGCACAGCTGACAGAGGAAATCACCCATAACAAGCAAATTAGTATGGTATTTCTCAGTACCAATAAACTGGCTCCTGCACAGATATCAGCCCTCCAGGATCTCTGGAACATACCAATTATTGACAGGTAACACATTCATCTATCAACTATCATTGACAACACATTGATCATTGTCACGTTACACATGTATCATTTTAGGTAACACATCCATCATTTTAGGTAACACATCCATCATTTTAGGTAACACATCCATTATTACAGGTAACACATCCATTATTACAGGTAACACATCCATCACTGACAGATGTCAGGCTACAAATTTGTATAAGATTGATATTAGAAAAAGCATTTGCTTCATGAGTCAGTTAAGATTTGTTATATTGTACATTGTTGATGATTTACGTCAGATTCTGAAAGCTTATGTGATATGTTGGACCAGGTATACAGTTGTCCTACAGATTTTTAAGGAACATGCGAAAACCAAGGAAGCCAAACTGCAAGTTGCTCTTGCTGAGATTCCAATGCTTAGGTAAGGCTAAATAAAGTGAGATGTATCTTTCAGGTTCCACTGTAACTTGCTGAGATCAAAAATACTCAGATAAGGCTAAATAAAGTAAGATATATGTTTCAGGTTCCCTTGTTACTTGCTCAAGTAAGGCTAGATAATTAGGGCCCCGCACAAAAGTGCAGGTACCGTATATTAGTCTGTCCATCCATCTGTCTATCTATCCATCTCTCTGTCTTTTGTTTCCGTGTGATAACTTGAGTTTCCTTGAGCCAATCAAGCTCAAACTTTATACAGTGCTTCCTTAATGAAAGTGCATGGGATAGCTTTTCAGCTTCAAAGGTCAAAGGTTAAAGTCACTGCTACTATAAATAGGAAATCAGTTTCTGTGTGAAAACTAGAGTTTGCTTTGGCCAATCTAACCCAAACCTCATACTATGCTTCCTTACTAAAATGGCATGCTTAGAACAGTCATAAACATAATGTATTTTACTTTAATGCAAATATACAATGCCAGAACTTTTCCACTTATAGATCAGTGTACACATAAAGAAACTGGATATCTGATAATGTAACATTGACAATAGTCAGTCAGGTGCTATGAGATTCACCTGTATATTTGCAGACATTGCATACCTGATGTTCATGAAGGAAAACCTGACAAAACATTTGGAGGCAGTCACTACCTTGGGGGAGATACACACTACCAACAACGCTGGCACCTACTGGGGGTAAGTACCTACCTCAGGGGAGATACACACTACCAACAATGCTGGCACCTACTGGGGGTAAGTAACTACCTCGTGTGAGATACACACTGACCACAATGCTGGCACCTACTGGGGGTAAGTACCTACCTCGTGTGAGATACACACTGCCCACAATGCTGGCACCTACTGGGGGTAAGTACCTACCTCGTGTGAGATACACACTGACCACAATGCTGGCACCTACTGGGGGTAAGTACCTACCTCGTGTGAGATACACACTGCCCACAATGCTGGCACCTACTGGGGGTAAGTACCTACCGCGGGGGAGATACACACCACTCACAATGTTGGCACCTACTGTGGGTAAGTACCTACCTCGTGGGAGATACACACTGCCAACAACGCTGGCACCTACTGGGGGTAAGTACCTACCTCAGGGGAGATAACTGCTGCCAACAATGCTGGCAACTATAGGGAGTGACTTTTTAAGGATAGAATAAATAACTGATGTTAGGAATCCTTTTTATTCTTACTGATGGTAGCCATGGATGGTAAACAATTAGAAAGGTTATTAGTCCCCTGCCGGTGAAACCGGAGGGGACTCTAGTGTTTGTCTCCATCGAGCCGACCGTCCGTCCGTCCGTCCGGATGTTGGTTTCAAGACGATAACTTGAGAACAGATTGATGGATTTGGATCAAACTTCATACAATGATAGTTTATAAGGCAATATATTGTGGGATTTTGTTTGGGGTCAAAAGGTCAACTACAAAGGTCACTGTTACTAAAAATAGAAATTGTTGTCACATTTTAGTTTCCGAACAATAACCTGAGAATGGATCAATGGATTTGGATCAAACTTCATACAATGATAGTTTATAAGGCAATATATTGTGGGATTTTGTTTGGGGTCAAAAGGTCAACTACAAAGGTCACTGTTACTAAAAATAGAAATTGTTGTCACATTTTAGTTTTCAGACAATAATTTGAGAATGGATCAATGGATTTGATGGATTTGATAGTTTATAAGGCAATATATTGTGGGATTTTGTTTGGGGTCAAAAGGTCAACTACAAAGGTCACTGTTAAAAAATAGAAATTGTTGTCACATTTTTCTGAACAATAACCTGAGAATGGATCAATGGATTTGGACAAACTTCATACAAGATAGTTTATAAGGCAATATAGATTTTCATGGGGCCAAAGGTCACATAAAAATAGAAATTGTTGTCACATTTTAGTTTTCAGACAATAATTTGAGAACGGTTTGATGGATTTGGTTGAAACTTGATAGGGTTAGCTTATTGCAAACAGTTAAGTAGCATTTGCTCCCATTTGCTTTACAACAGAACATTGGTTGGCTTATTAGCAGCCGTAGGCTTATTTGCTGATAAATACAGTAATTTACGACAGGGGACATGTGTTGCATCCAACACTAATTGTAAGCTTGTTTATGTGTACATATCTACTGCAAACTTGCTTGTCATCCAAGTTTAGCTCAAACTAATATTGAGTTTCTATGATTTCAAATGATATATTGCTATATTGTTATAATTCATTAATATGGTACCATGGCTAGGGGTGCTGTATCGTTTTGGCTTCATAATGCCAATTTGGTAGCAAGTTTACTGGAAAGTAAGAAGATTTCTTTTCTTTTTTAGATTTAAAAAACTTCTAGAATTTTAACTTTGGAAAATAAAGACTACAGTGTTTTGGTTTTGAACTGCATACTGTTTATTACATGTAACATGATGTATCAGTGTGTGTTACTATCACATTAAGTCTAATACTTCACATAATACTGAATCAAGGATATTGTGATATTTCAGGTATATCTTAAGGTATCATATTAAATTTAAGTTTCAGGTTCGTGTTATCATGTTAAGTGAAAACTTCTTAATGAAATATTTGCTATTGAAATTAAAGTTCATTTAGAACACAGAGCTCACTTATAGGGCATTTAATCAGATGTTTTAAGTATCGCTTGATCTCACATCTCTTTGTGGTTATAAAAATGTTGGAGAACAAGCAAAATGAAGTATGTGTGCTACTAAAGTTGAGATGGAATTAATTTCATTTGCTTAGATGAGAGAACAACGAATAAAAGGCCTGTTGGCTAAGGTGAAGAAACAACGAGAATTCCTGCGGAAAGGGCGACAGAAAAGACAACAACCGACAGTCGCTGTAGTGGGCTATACAAACTGTGGTGAGTTGGTAATGACACCTAGTTGTCAGTTGTTGTTAACCTCCTTGACTAATATGGTCATAGTACATAGTAATATTAGATTGCAAGGATTTGATATCGTCTTGTGTATGTCCATGAAACCAAATTTCTTTACAAGTATCAATATGAGGATAATTTGTGTTAATTTGAATCACATTAACACCATTTCTTACCGATGATGATAGCAACGTTTCATTAAAGAGTTAACTAATTTATAGGATTTTATCTCTTGGTTGTGACAGATAAAAAATGTTAAAAAATGAATTATACTCAGTAGAGAGATGTGTTACCTGATGGTTGTGTATGATTGTGAAGGTGTGTTACTCATTACAGGTAAGACAACGTTGATCAAGGCTTTGACAGGTGACCGTAAAATGGAGCCTTTAAACCAGCTGTTTGCCACATTAGATGTTACGGCCCATGGTGGTGCTCTACCTAACAATCTGTCTATCCTCTACATGGACACCGTGGGCTTCATTGCAGACATCCCTACCACACTTATTGATGCCTTTGCTGCCACACTAGAAGATGCCTTGGTTGCGGTAGGTCAATGACGTCCTGTCATGTAGTGTAAAATCACCTATACCTGTGTAAAACTTCAGAATGTTATTTTATCCAAGTGGTTAGGCATCTTTCAAGAGGGTAAGAGATCAATGGTCTAAGTCCCACTAAGGGCAGGCGACATTTCATATTTCTTATTACACAATGTATAGCCTGTTCTGTGATGTGTGTATGATAACAAGTAGGAGTCAATTTCGGCTTTCAGCTAAAACAACGAAGAATGTCAACCTATCAGCCCCATCAGTTTTATCAACACACATGTACATAATATAATATATACAAATATATATACATTTATTAACATTAACTACTGAGATTTAGCCTCAATGTCCAAGAATGACACATTACAGTCAAAAATGACCAACGAAACCAAACCTTTTGACCAGAACAGCAGTACTCTGTGATATAATTCCTCATTTAATGGTGGTTTTTGTTTCCCAATAGTACTACTATAACAAAATGTAGGTTTGCATGCATTGTCTCTATTTGTCTATCTGCACATTAAATTGGTATTTGATATTTAAATTTATGTTTTTTTGTGTACTTGATATAACATTTGTGATTATTGTGTATATAAACTTTAGTGTCTTTAATTTCTTAATTTTTAGTTCTGATTTATTTGCATACAATACATTTATATAAATCAAAACCATATGTTTCACATAAACACTTTGTGTATTTGTATACAATATGTAAAATTATGTGAATCATGTTATAACTATTTGTGTATTTGTGGACTGTAATAAACATCTGATGTATTTAGCTAAGGCACAACATGCATAACATGCTGTAAAATCATTGATTTTTGTAGTGTCTTATTTCATGATTTTTTTTTAAATGCCAATTTGGTAGAAACCTGATTTCCTGGATGAATATACCTATTTAAATCTACTTATTAAATATATCTTATAAATATATATATTACATATGAATTTATAGATAAAAAAGTAACCATGTAATCAATGAAAATGAAAACCACACAAAAAATTCTGATTTTGCAGTATTCTGATTTTGTATATTTTACAGGATGTGATAATCCACCTCCAGGATGTCAGCCACCCAGACAGGCTAGCTCAGAAAGATAATGTGCAGAAAACACTCCAAAAAATTTTGACTGACAGTCAGTACAGAAAAGTCATCAATGTTGGAAATAAAGTGGACCTTGTCAAAGGGTATTTACCTACTACACAGACATTGATGTAAAAGTTTGATATTACTGGGTTCTTTCTTTTTTGTACTTTGGAGTTATGTTTAAAAAAGACAAAAAACTTCAAGTTTTGGTTTATTTTAACAATTATATCAGTTTTATATTTTAAACATGATTGCAGAAATATCATTTTGCCACAGAAAAGTTTCAATGTTAATCTCAAGATGGCCAGTCTTTCAGAAATCAAAAATCAAATTTCATATGATTTTCTAGAGAAAAGTGTGACCCTGATTGTATCAACATATCGTCAGTGAGGGGTCATGGTCTACATGAACTACAGATGGCCATACAGAAAGAACTGCTTGTCAACAAAGCTCTCCTGGAGAAGAAAATCAGCATTCCTGCTAGTGGAGCACATCTCAGGTATGTCACTGATATCATAATAACACCTGTCTGTATGTCACTGATACCTATATAACATCTCAGGTATGTCACTGATATCATAATAACACCTGTCTGTATGTCACTGATACCTATATAACATCTCAGGTATGTCACTGATACCATAATAACACCTGTCTGTATGTCACTGATACCTATATAACATCTCAGGTATGTCACTGATACCATAATAACACCTGTCTGTATGTCACTGATACCTATATAACATCTCAGCTATGTCACTGATACCATAATAACACCTGTCTGTATGTCACTGATACCTATATAACATCTCAGCTATGTCACTGATACCATAATAACACCTGTCTGTATGTCACTGATACCTATATAACATCTCAGGTATGTTCCTGATACCATAATAACACCTGTCTGTATGTCACTGATACCTATATAACATCTCAGGTATGTTCCTGATACCATAATAACACCTGTCTGTATGTCACTGATACCTATATAACATCTCAGCTATGTCACTGATACCATAATAACACCTGTCTGTATGTCACTGATACCTATATAACATCTCAGCTATGTCACTGATACCATAATAACACCTGTCTGTATGTCACTGATACCTATATAACATCTCAGGTATGTTCCTGATACCATAATAACACCTGTCTGTATGTCACTGATACCTATATAACATCTCAGGTATGTTCCTGATACCATAATAACACCTGTCTGTATGTCACTGATACCTATATAACATCTCAGCTATGTCACTGATACCATAATAACACCTGTCTGTATGTCACTGATACCTATATAACATCTCAGCTATGTCACTGATACCATAATAACACCTGTCTGTATGTCACTGATACCTATATAACATCTCAGGTATGTCACTGATACCATAATAACACCTGTCTGTATGTCACTGATACCTATATAACATCTCAGGTATGTTCCTGATACCATAATAACACCTGTCTGTATGTCACTGATACCTATATAACATCTCAGCTATGTCACTGATACCATAATAACACCTGTCTGTATGTCACTGATACCTATATAACACCTGTCTGTATGTCACTGATACCTATATAACATCTCAGGTATGTCACTGATACCATAATAACACCTGTTTGTATGTCACTGATACCATAATAACACCTGTCTGTATGTCACTGATACCATAATAACACCTGTCTGTATGTCACTGATACCATAATAACACCTGCCTGACATTAATACTTCATCATAACACATTGGTCATTTGTGCCTTGGCAAAGGAGTTACCCACCTTATGAGTAATCTACTGAATTATGATGCATGAATTACCGTTTAAATGCAGTATACCTTTCAAATTTATTGCTGACGTCCTAATATTGTGTATTCCAGCTGGTTATATAACCATGCAACTGTTCAGGCAGTGGATGCAGCGGTCAAGCCAAACCATTTACTAGTGGACATTGTCATCTCACATGGACTTTATGCTAAATTTAAGGCAAAGTTTGGAAAACCAGTTACCAGAAAGGTCAAAACATAAAAGACAGATTTGTGTGAGGAAATGTCATCTACACTAAATTTAACAGACTCAGTACAACGTTCATACTGAGGTTATTTGAAAACCCATTGTCTTTCATGTGTGTTAATTATTTATGAATGAAACTAAATATAAATCATTGTAACATAGTCTTTGTTGTATGTATCCTCCAGTGGAAATCCAGTGTCATGATATCTCAGTTGGTTACAGTGTTGGCCTTTATTTTGTGGAAGTAATAATTCATGAAATAGGCATCAGTCACCATAACTGATGTTATGTACATTGTAAGTAATCAAGGAATCAATTTTTCCTGTTGGACATTGTAAGTATATACAATGTAGACACTTATTTTAACACGATAAAATATTCATTCTGTCAAAACCAAAGTTGTCTGCTTGTCAGTCATTTTGGTTATTTGATGACTTCCGTAATGGACATAGGACAAGTAGGAACATTAAAGGGAAACCTACATATCAAATATGTATTGATCCAATACCTCTCCAGAAATAACAAACCACTGTCAAAATTAAAGATGGTCACCAGTCAGCCATATTGTTTTTTCTGATCTGTCCTTAAATAATCCAGGACATATAATTTTTAGAATGATTCATCAAGTGCTTAGTGAAAAAAACTGTACAGCTCAAAATCCAAAATGGCTGCCTGTTGCCATATTGTTTTTCAATCACAAAAATGGACAGAGCACAACCAGGAGAAACCTATATGATATTTGAGAACGACCCATCAAGTTCTTAAATAAACAAAGTGATCATAAAATACAACAATCAATATCCAAGATGGCTGCCTGTTGGATATATTTTCCTTGATCAATCACAAAATGGATCGTGTACAACTGAGAACCAAGGGATATCAACAAAATAGATTTGGGAATGATGGACTGAAGGATGATGTGTCTTGGACAAAGTGTGATGTTGAATGCATTAGATGGTGGGCTAAAAATTAAACCCAGACTTTCCATTAAAGCTGTTTTTTGGCTTTTGTGAGATAACTCTTTGATGTGAACAATGCCAAATTGATATAGTTACTGGATATTCCTTACTCCGGAATTTACTTGGTTTTAAATCATACATATAATATGTTATACTGTGAAGAGGAAAAAGGATTTATTTGCTATTAGTCTACTAACACTACAACTTAATGTCATGTTAATTTTTCATACTTTAAAGACCAAAGTTTATTGAACCATTCATTGTAATAAAGTTTTTTATTTCTATTTTTCAATTTCTTTGTTTGGAAATAACATATGGGAATGCCTTAAGGACACAACTAGATTGGTCCATTTCTCAGCTTTGTGAAAAACAAACAGTCATGGGTAGGGAATGTCAAACCATGCACCTAGGACCTTCACCCGAGGTTACATAGACAAACTCCATTTTAGAACTTCCTTCTGAAGAATCTTACTAAATGGAAGGGGGATAACTCCTCTGTATTCAGTATATTTCTATCATCACTGATATTAAGGCTAGGAAAATCTTTTTATATTAGCATATGTTTATAGTAATAACACAAGCTGTTATATATATATTTACCTGGTACATCATATCTCATTGTAGTTAAGCTCTTGGTGCATTTTTGTGAGGGGAAAAAACTTCTGAAACTTCTGAAATTTCAAAATTACCTTTAAAATTAACTTTATTATAGTCACTTCTGGCTTTAAAAACACTTAAATAAACCACAAGCGTTGTGACCTGTTTTTAACAATTAATCCACATTTGTAGTGATACATTGTATATAAACATATTCCTTCAGTCACCCTGGATCGGAGAGTAAAAAAAAGTTTTACTGTAGGAAGTACAATATACATACTGTAGTTTGTAAGGGATGTAAATTTGCTATACTCATGGTCATAAAAGATAGTGTGAAATGAAAACCTCTCTGACAATACATAGACAGGCTGGGCTGTTTAGTGCTGAATAGAGCGTTGGAGGAAATTCATTCTCTGTGAAGTAGCACGAGTAATAACGATTGTGAAATTCAGCAATTGTACAGTAATTATTCTGTAACTTACGTTACAGTTGATTCACCTGACTTATTTAGATCAGGAAGATTTTTTTTGCCGTGTAGCTGTTAATTTTCATGGGTCAAAATTTTTGTGATTTTCTTTTGAAAGTAATTAACCATATTTTAATGAATTAAAAATTTGCAATATGAACATTAAGTGATATTTAATACACACGTCTCATTATTTCTCAGATTAAATTTTCCCAATCACTTTAGTGTACTGCGAAATAGCAAACAGGTCATCCTCAGGAAATCAATAAGCTATACAGTATTTCAAATTCAATGAGTGAGAGATGTATTTCAGGTTATCACAATACTTATCATCATTATACTATTATTACAGTAAATGTTAATACTTTATCAATTTCCTTTTGATTTGAGAAGTGAGATCAGTGTAGAATAGAAAATGGTGCCTTTTCTTCAACGCATCAGCTTTAAGAAGGAGTAATCTAACAACAGTTTTAATTATGATTTGTATCCAGTCTCATATGTTTATCTCATATAAATAAAGATTAAATAGTAAAGTAAATCACTCATATTGAAATATAATTGGCTATATTTTTAACAAGAATCTTAGAAGTCTACTTTGATGCTGACTTATCCAAATCCAGATTGCATCATATGAATGCAGATTTAGCAACAAACAGATTTGAACATATAATTTCATACATCTAGAATAAGCATAAAGATTTGAATGCAAAACTCTATATATCTTGCAACATATAGATTTAAACTTTAACTTATAAATATCTAGTAACCTATAGATTTAAACTTTAACTTTAAAATATCTGGTAACCCACAGATTTAAACTTTAAGTTTTAAATATCTGGTAACCTATAGATTTTAACTTTAACTTTTTAACATCTAGTGACCTATAGATTTGAACTTTAACTTTTTAACATCTAGTAACCTATAAATTTTAACACTAAATTTTATACATCTGACCAAATATAGATTTAAACACTGGATTTTAAACATCTAGTAACATACATATTTAAACACAACCCTTTATACATCTAACTTATAAACTAAGTTTCATACATGTAGTAACTCATAGATTTAAACACTAAATCTTGTACATTTAGCAACATATAGGACCAAAGGTATTTAGCAATGAAAAGGGACTTGAAGCAGTATATAATGCATAATGTGTAAGAGAAGAAAAATATCACAGAATTTGCTTCTGTCGATTAAAATTGTCTTTATGTGGCTGTACTCCCTATGACCTCTCAGTAACACAAGAGCTGTTTCCTGTGGCACTACACAAACTTCCTGGTGAAATTATTGCACCTAATGATTGTGGCCTGAAGATTCAGCTTGCAAATCTGCTGCACAACTGATAAAGTTTGTACTTGACACTGATGTGAGGTTAACTTAACTGTTGTATGTTATACAATAGACATGTTGAGTCATAGGGAGAAAAAAAATTCTTCACTTAGATAAAAGGAAAATAACATCAAACATTTAAAAAAAAAAACAAAAACCAGCTACTTTTCCCTCACTGATTCGTATGTGTAAAATGACAAGAAAATACAAATAACTACAAACAAACAAAAGATTTTGCTTCACAACCAGAAAATTGGGTGCAACACTTTGATGACTACACTGTTACTTTCATTGGACAAATTATCAGGACTTTTTTAATCTTACATACACTCCGGTGGAAAATGGTGAAACAAGATGGTGAGAAAATTATAATGGAACCAGCTCGTAGCAATGTACTATCCCATAAAAGCTGATTTGGTTATGTTTTTTCTAGACCATGGTCATAGATGTACAAGATTCTATGGGCCCCCTTGTCCCTGTTAGTACCACCCACCTGCAGTGTATCCACAACTTTAGCATTGTTCCATTCAGTGATATGATTTAACCGTTTGACATGGTAGAGTTAGACAAAGCAGAGCTGAATCAACTGGATGGTTCATGTAACCACCAAATGTACATACAAAAGATCACCAATTTGACCTGTTTTCAGTATAAGCTGATCTCCATATCATCACACTACTTTCTACCTTACTGTACATGATATCATACAACTGCTGAAAAATACCATCTTGTTCGCTGTACACCTGACAGTACAAATGTGATTCACTTTTGGAAAGTGACCAGATAGTCACCAAAAGGTCACATACAACTGACCTGTTGTGATATAAGAACTTCTATTCATTAATAGAATTACCACTGATCCAGTTATAACTTTGAAAACAAATGATTAATGAAGGTCACAGACTATATTTTGAAAACAAATGATTAAGGAAGGTCACAGACTATATTTAGTACGGTATGACATCAGATTATTTGGTATGGATATTCGTTCCACTAACACCTTGATTTCTTCCCTCCTTGACCAGGGCTATGATACTGGATCCTATAATTGTTACCTGTTACCAGTTTGCACTAAGTCTTTCTTTGAGTTAACGTTCATGTATACATGTAATCATGATACAAATATTGATTAATGTTAACAAGATCGACATACTGATACCTGCCAGGAATTATTACCCGATATATTACACAATTCTGTACAGATGTTGAAAGGACAGCCACATTGTACCTAAGACATTTATGTCTGTATTCATCAGAGATTTGGCTAAACACAGAAAACACTAAAAAAAATGACCAACTTGTGGATCTTGTTTTTGGCGTATAACAGACATTGCTTCATGTGTCTGGTATTCCCTTGACTTTATAACATTTTATTTACGCCCGAGAAACAAAAGTCAAAGATAACATATCTATCATTTCTTCATCATCTTGTTAAGTCTTAACTACTGGTCTCTCCATTAACATCAGATCAAAAGTCCTAGCCAGCTGAATGTAACAGTGTGTGATATATACTGTAGTGTTTATATAAACTTTATTCATTTTACAACAATTGTGAAAAAAAGTTATTTCATCATACACTAATCACTCTTGTTGGTCCAGATGTAAGCTTGTGAGAGGTCTTACTGAGGGAGGGAAACATGCTCTTAGTGTAAATCTGTACCAATTGTAAAATTCTCATCTGCCCAACGAGATTAATACCAAGTGTAATTTTCAAATACTAAGTATAATTCCTTACAACAAAGTGTAATCTCCTACAAGTGTAATATCCCAGCCGCCACACTGTAATTCCCCACTAAAAAGTGTAGTTTAAGTTCCGATCACACAGTGTAATTTCCTACAACAAAGTGTAATATTCTACCAAACAGTCAACTTTATAATTTCTTACTTCTGTGTAATTTCTTAGCACATAGAGTAATTTCCTACCACAAAGAGTAATTCCCGACTACACAGAGTAATTTCCAAGCACATGGTCTGATTTTCTATCACAACACTGTAATTTCCTACCACTGTGTAATTTTCTATCATGAAACATAATCTCTTATCACAGAGATTATATACCGCACAATGTAATTTCCTTACCACAAAGTGACACTTTTTTGCATACACTGTAATTTCCTCTCACAGTGTAATTTTCTGCCATAAAACCGTGATTTCCTGTTAAAACAGTTAAACAGTGTGATTTCCTGTTAAAACAGAGTGATTTCTTGTTATAAGAGTGTGATTTCATATGAAAGCATTGTGATCTGTTGAAACAGTGTGATTTCTTGTTATAAGAGTGTGAAATGAAAGCATTGTGATCTCCTGTTAAAACAGTGTGATTTCTTGTTATAAGAGTGTGATTTCATATGAAAGCATTGTGATCTCCTGTTAAAACAGAGTAAGTTCCTACTACACACTTTCCAAAAAACAATTTCATATGACAAAGTGAAATTCCATGTCACAAAGTGTTATTCTCAACCACAAAGTGAATATTTAATTTCCTTCCACACAAAGTTCATTTACTACAACAAACTGTTAAACTACCACACTGTTACACTACCACACTGTTACACTACCACACTGTTACACTACTGCAAAGTGAACATTTAATTTCCTTCCACACAAAGTTAATTTACTACAACACACTGTTACACTACCACAAAGTGTAATTCTCTAAAAGCTTGTGTATTTTTTGCACTCTGTTTCTAATTCTGATGTGCCAAACAACACCTAATACTTACTGTTTCACACTATGTAATTGTATACTTAATCACAAAATGTAAAGTTCTAATATCTTGTGTGATTTTTTAATACTTACTGTTTCTAACACCTGATGTAGTTCTATACAACACCTAATACTTACTGTTTCTAACACCTGATGTAATTCTATACAACACCTAATACTTACTGTTTCTAACACCTGATGTAGTTCTATACAACACCTAATACTTACTGTTTCTAACACCTGATGCTATTCCATACAACACCTAATACTGTTTCTTACACTGATGTTATTCCATACAAAACCTTATACTTACTGTTTCTACACCGATGTTATTCCATACAAAACCTTATACTTACTGTTTCTACACCGATGTTATTCCGTACAAAACCTTATACTTACTGTTTCTACACCGATGTTATTCCATACAAAACCTAATGTTAGTGTGGTCTAACAATAACACATGACCATGAGAAATGTCATGGATATCATGTATCATTATATCATTGTTGTATGTACCCAAATATTTGGTGTAACAAAAGCCCTTTCATGTGTTGGCAGATATTTGTGGTGGTGGTACAACATGAATGCGGTCAGCATTTCTCATTGTTTTTCAGCATTGCATATTATATAATTTCTGTCCTTCATTGCTGATACCTACCCTCTGGTTAATTCAAACCTCTATTAAGCAGGTTACAAGGTTGTCTTTATACTTGAATCACAACCATTTGCCCTCCCTTTGTGTGCCTCTCTGTGCATTTGGTATAGAGACATCTCTACACTCGACAGTATTAAACTGAACCGTTCTCCTTTCTCAGACAGGGCTGTGATCCGAGAAGTGTGGTTCAATGCTCAATATCTGTAGTGGTTTTTCCTTATCAGGAAGCTCAGACATGAACTGGTCTGTACTGTTGTGGTTGTGTTCTTGGCAAAGATATTACCCATATTGCTCTTAACAGGTCTGTGGTCTGTTGTTTGGTTAAGTAGCAACTGGCTACCAAAATGAGACTTTGTCTCCAAATCATCCAAGCTGCTAATTGAGCAAAGCATCCAGCTAACAAACAATAAGATACATATATAATTACTCAATATCCGAAAATAAGATACTGGTATGTGCTATATTCATTTGTAATGCAAAGAAAAAATTTGAATCCTTTGACATGTAACCTTCACCATCTTGGCTTGGTCAGCTACCACAGCCGTCATATTGATGTTTCCTTATAATAGATTGCAGCCTGGCAGTACTGAATTGGATTATTATGAGATTTTTCTAATTGTGACACCTGTCATATCACAAGCATGACCTTGCTCTCTTTGAGCAGCTATCACAAATGCATATTTAAAAAAGCATGACCATTTATTTGAGTAAGCAAATTAAGTGCCTTTAAAAAAAGTTTTTTTAAATTCACCACTTTTCACGTCTAGTCATGAACATGTGATGAATCACAAAAACAAGTCACAAATCACTTTAATACTGATAGCAAAATCACTAATTTGAGAGAGGGACACAATGGATATCATCAAGTTTCTTGATTTGAGTCAGAAACAACATTGCTGATTGTAAACTTGATTTGAGTCAGAGACAATTGATGGGACATTTGATTCAAGTCAGCAACACTATTGATGGGACATTTGATTCAGGTCAGCAACACTATTGATGGAAACTTGATTCAAGTCAGAAACACCATTTATGGAACACTTGATTCCAGTCAGAAACACTGTTAATGGGACACTTGATTCGAGTCAGAAACACTATTGATGGGACACTAGAAGTGAGTCAGTAACACTATTGATGGAACACTTGATTTGAGTCAGAAACACTATTGATGGAACACTAGATTTGAGTCAGAAACACTATTGATGGAAAACTTGATTTGAGTCAGAAACACTATTAATGGAACACTTGATTTGAGTCAGAAACATTATTGATGGAACAGTTCATTCAAGTCGGAAACACTATTGATGGAACACTTGATTCAAGTAGGAAACACTATTGATGGAACACTTGATTCGAGTCAGAAACACTGTTGATGGAACACTTGATGTGAGTCAGAAACATTCTTGATGGAACACTTGATGTGAGTCAGAAACATTCTTGATGGAACACTTGATGTGAGTCAGAAACACAATTGGTGGAACACTTGATTCAAGTCAAAAACACTATTAATGGGACAGTTCATTCAAGTCAGTAACACTATTGATGGAACACTTGATTCAAGTCAGAAACACTATTGATGGAAAACTTGATTTGAGTCAGAAACACTATTGATAGAACACTTGATTCAAGTCAGAAACACTATTGATGGAACACTTGATTCGAGTCAGAAACAGTGTTGATGGAACACTTGATTCGAGTCAGAAACACTATTGATGGGACACTAGAAGTGAGTCAGAAACACTATTGATGGAACACTTGATTCGAGTCAGAAACACTATTGATGCTTGATTCGAGTCAGAAACACTATTGATTGGACACTTGATTCGAGTCAGAAACACTATTGATGGGACATTTGATTCAAGTCAGCAACACTACTGATGTGACATTTGATTCAAGTCAGCAACACTATTAATGGGACAGTTCATTCAAGTCAGAAACACTATTGATGGAACACTTGATTCGAGTCAGAAACACTATTGATGGAACACTTGATTTGAGTCAGAAACACTATTGATGGAACACTTGATTTGAGTCAGAAACACTATTGATGGAACACTTGATTTGAGTCAGAAACACTATTGATGGAACACTTGATTCGAGTCAGAAACACTATTGATGGAACACTTGATTCAAGTCAGAAACACTATTGATGGAACACTTGATTCGAGTCAGAAACACTATTGATGGAACACTTAATTCAAGTCAGAAACACTATTGATGGGACACTTGAATTCAAGTCGGAAACACTATTGATGGAACACTTGATTCAAGTAGGAAACACTATTGATGGAACACTTGATTCGAGTCAGAAACACTATTGATGGAACAGTTCATTCAAGTCGGAAACACTATTAATGGAACACTTGATTCGAGTCAGAAACACTATTGATGGAACACTTGATTCGAGTCAGAAACACTATTGATGGAACACTTGATTCGAGTCAGAAACACTATTGATGGAACAGTTCATTCAAGTCAGAAACACTATTGATGGAACACTTGATTCGAGTCAGAAACACTATTGATGGGACACTAGAAGTGAGTCAAAAACACTATTGATGGGACACTTGATTCGAGTCAGAAACACTATTGATGGAACACTTGATTCGAGTCAGAAACACTATTGATGGAACACTTGATTCGAGTCAGAAACACTATTGATGGAACACTTGATTTGAGTCAGAAACACTATTGATGGAAACTTGATTCGAGTCAGAAACACAATTGATGGAACACTTAATTCGAGTCAGAAACACTATTGATGGGACACTTGATTCGAGTCAGAAACACTATTGATGGAACACTTGATTCGAGTCAGAAACACTATTGATGGAACACTTGATTTGAGTCAGCAACACTATCGATGGAACACTTGATTCGAGTCAGAAACACTATTGATGGAACACTTGATTCGAGTCAGAAACATTATTGATGGAAAACTTGATTTGAGTCAGAAACACTATTGATGGAACACTTGATTGAGTCAGAAACACTATTGATGGAACACTTGATTCGAGTCAGAAACACTATTGATGATGAGTCAGGAACACTTGATTCGAGTCAGAAACACTATTGATGGAACACTTGATTCGAGTCAGAAACACTATTGATAGAAACTTGATTCAAGTCAGAAACACTATTGATGGGACACTTGATTCGAATCAGAAACACTTTTGATGGAACACTTGATTCAAGTCAGAAACACTATTGATGGACACTTCATTTGAGTCAAAAACACTGTTGATATGACACTTGATTTGAGTCAAAAACACTGTTGATGGGACACTTGATTCGAGTCAGAAACACTTGATTGAGTCAGAAACACTATTGATGGGACACTTGATTTGGGTCAGAAACACCCGTGATGGAACACTTGATAGGAGTCAGAAACACTATTAATGGGACAGTTGATTTGAGTCAGAAACATTATTGATGGAACAGTTCATTCAAGTCAGAAACACTATTAATGGGACAGTTCATACAAGTCGGAAACACTATGATGGAACACTTGATTCCAGTCAGAAACACTATTGATGGGACACTTGATTCGAGTCAGAAACATTATTGAGTCAGAAACACTACTGATCAGACATTTGAGTGAGTCAGAAACACTATTGATGGGACACTTGATTCGAATCAGAAACACTTTTGACGGAACACTTGATTCAAGTCAGAAACACTATTGATGGAACACTTGATTGAGTCAGAAACACTATTGAAACACTAGTCAGAAACACTATTGATTGAACACTTGACTCAAGTCAGAAACACTATGATAGGACACTAGAAGTGAGTCAGAAACACTATT